GTGGCGGACTTCACTGCAGCTAGAACCAGCTGGGATAGTTCGAGGAGGCTCAAACAAATCCAAAAAGCGAGCAGAGATCCAGCCTTTCATAGGACGCCCAGCACTTCCACAGTATGAACATGAGATAGGTGGGTGAAGGGCGTTATAAGAAAATGATTTGAAAGCCACAGCAAAAGGAGGACAGAGTCGGTTGCACTCCATTCAGAAGACTGTGTTAATGACCGCTGAGCACCGCCGTTCGACAAGATAGTAAGGTGAGTCAGGACACAGTAGAAGAGAGACAATGAATCGACATATGGAGAGCGGGGGACAATGGTTCCTAGGTCTATCTATCACAAGAAACCAGTGTCTAGAGAAACAGAGAGAGACAGTGACTCGGATCTACCTCGAATGGAGCGAAAGTAGCTAAAACAGGTCCCAACTAAAACACTGGGCACAGCAGGAACATAGTATAAGGGGTAAGCCGCGGTAAATTTGTTAATCAATCTATTAGGTGAACGAACTGCACTTACCCTTGACACTTGGAAAGGTCAAATCAAGCTGTATGGTGCGACGAAATAACGCTCAGTAGGTATATAAGAAGAAAGGACTGGAATTCTGGAGAAATTTCTAACAGATAAAATAATACAAAGCGTTGCTTGCACTCAACGCTGTACTACAAAAACAATTTCGGGCTTGCTTGAAACTGACAGTCAGTGAAGGCCACAGAACTAGGAGCGTAGTGATTTCCACCAGATGTCTATACAACTTAAATTGGCGGGTAACGCTGGTCACAGCGGTTGGGAATTCGTAACTATATTTCGTTAGACTGCTGATCTTAAATGGACGTTTGCAACAAGTACACACCCGCACTTGATGCGTGATTCATTGAGATGATAGAAATCATTATTTTCAATACCGTCAGCTGAGGATGAGAAACACAACTTAGCTAACGTGCAGCAATAAAAAAAGATATGGCATTAAATATACTGAAAATAAAAATATAATGATAAACATTGTCATATGCATTGGGTATGAGATCGTTGTCGTAGGCGGAAGCTGAAGGAGAGGGGATGGACAAAGAAACTCTCAACACACGCCATTGAGGTAGACTCTTCGCCATGTTCACAAGTGTATCCAACCACATGTATTAATCGTTCTTCGGACCCCGTGATAGAAATCCGACATGAGTGGATACACAGACTTGTGTGGCGCAAGTTGGGAGAGAACATTGTATCCACGCAGCCAGCAGTACCGTGATGGCGGTTGTGTGGGGTAACGTCGAATATCCACACAGAACGGATAACACATAGGCGTCTATAATTAAAAGAGCCAGTAAGCGTATTTTCGTGTGCACGGTAAGAAACCATGGACATAAGGACTCTTGCGTGTACCGGAGCAATAGCCCACAGGAGACAGTTGTAACGACGTACATTCGACCGATAGCCATCATTACGTAGAACCACATGTTGGCGATGGACGCACGGTGTATGCGTACTAGCGCTTCCACTATCCTACCTAGCCTCTTCCTCCTAATCCGGCTTCCGTTTCGGGAATAAATTGCTCCGACTGGCTATCACTCAGATTATTCTCGACATCCTCCACAAAAAAAGCACGAGGTATACACCCAATGTAATATATGAAGACCGCTGCTCTTCTGAGGAATGTTTCGTAGACTACGAAATCCTGTTTTTGTCCAGCCACAACTAGCGCAAGTTGGACATCACATCAAGTGGATTCACTCGAAGAGAATACCAGAACGGAGGATCGGATAGACATGGTTAGTTTAGCCAAGCAAACAAAGTGGGTTAAAACTTTCACGTCAGTATGAGTTGCGATCCGTTTGCCTCGGTACAGCGGTCCTGGCTGTGCGCTACTCAACCCCTTCCTGGAAAAGCATACCGTGAGCAAACTTAAGAACTGACGAGAAACTAAGGGGGGATATAGGGAATGTCATGTCATTGCTGATTTATAATGTATCAAACCAGATAATGAAGTGCGATGAAACAGTACGAAGGAGCTTTGTGCTGGAATCAGCCAGTCAATCAATGAGAGCATTTATCATCTTCTGTTGTTTTGGAACAACACGAAACCTTTCTCTGATCCCTTTCTGGCGAATTATGCAAGCACAGTCGTTCTGACGAGTTATTTGCCTTGACTTAAGTAGTGGTCGATCAGGGACTGGAAACAGATGTATCGGTTAGCTGTGGAGTCAAAGGGGACACACAACACTTACAAAACCCTAAGAGTTGTCCACAAGCAACCACTTACTGTAGATTCAGTGAAAATGCCAAAATCAGGGGAATGGGAGCGGATGCCACGATTGCTACGGAGTCGGCTCACACACACATGCCATTAACCCGCATGGTATTCGCGTGACAGTACCTCAGGGGCAAAACGAAACCCAAACGTTTCAACACACAACGCACGGTGAAAGGAAGAACGAGTTCATTGTCAGCATCCGACTAGCGCAGCATCGGTGCCTACCAGTCAAGCATTAGTGTAAAAAGGGGAAAAAGACACCTGCACATCACAAGTGTACGCAAGGTGCTTACTGAACCGCATAGCTCATTCAGGATGGAACCAGCTACAAAGAATGCGTACATTATTCACATGGCCGGTGAGCAACGTCCTCTTGGGTATAGTAACAATACAGCGTAAAAAATTTTCTGTAACAGAAATACCAATGTACCTACCGCATAGAATACACTTTACTGATCGTAGAAATGTATTCCGACGTTACATAGTACGTCAGGTTACATTTTTATAAGCAAATGATTAGTTTCAGTAATGTCAAGGTAACATCAAACGAATTATATGTAAATGTACTGAGTCACAACATATACAGAATGCATCTATGTGGTAAATACATCTAAAACCACTGCAACACTCGCCACCAACTACTGACTGCAGCATGGCACTGGGAAATGATGATTTCGCCGAGATCGTCGTTTATATGATCCAGCGCCCTCAAGTTGCAGAAACTAGCAAAAGTCACCCATCATTAAAGGCGTGTACTTGCCACTGTAAAGCTGCTCCGTGACTAAAATGTATTGGTAAAAGCGCTCACCATGCTCATCGCTAACAGATCCCAAGTTCTTCGGGAAAAAGTCAAGGTGATTATGCAAGAAATGCATCTTGTGTGACACACGAGCACCAGCAGTCCGATAGTCCGCGATGAGCTTTTTTGTGACAGCTTTGTATTTCTCTGCCTTTGTTCTGCCCAAAAACCCTGTACATATTGCCTTGAATAATCGCCATGCTTCTAAGTCAAATGAAATCAACAGGCATTCGAGAGCACTGTTTGCCATTATCCGGCAAATATCAGACTCAATAAGAATCCTTTCTTTGAGCTTCGCATCAATGACCTTCGAACATTTGTTTCAGGTATTGGATGGCAAAATCGTCTCGCTTGGGAGCTTTGACGAAGCTTTTAATCAAACCAAACTTGATGGGCAGGGGTGTTAGACAGATATGATCAGGTTGCACCTGAAGTGTATGCTATACACTCATTTTCCGTACAGCATACTACGTCTTCTCTGGTCACTTTTCGATGGTGTAGTGCTGTTGTGTTGCTCCACTGTCCCATAAGCACAAGAAACAGCAATATATTGTGAAGCTTCTTTGCATACCCATTAGGTCTCCAATGAGTTTGAAGTAAGCACAGATGTTCCAACAGCACTTATGTTAGTTCAGTGTAGCGAGTATCTGTTGCACACTTGCGTAAGCCTCTTTCATATTGGTGGCATTCAACTGAGGCACAGTTGAATACACATTTCCATTGTGGATCAGTATGGCCTTAAGACCACTGTTGGACGAGTCATGAAAAAACGCCATTCATCACTGATATGCCTCACACTAAGCTCCTTCATCAGTTCTTCCACGTCGGAACAGTGACAAAAGGCTTCTCTTGTGACACAGAAAGCGGACAAGTTAACATTTGTTTTCAGTAACCTTGGTGCTTGCAGCATGTAAGTGCCACTGCTGCAGCCGAGATACCAACGACTGGGCCTAGTCTGTAGGCAATCTCAAATCACGTACCAAGACATTCAGCTCTGATTGTCCAATACGATGTAGGTTGACAACATCAGCTTCAAAGTTTTCACAGATGTCAGAATCAGGTGAAATCGACCATGCGGAATCACTACTCATCATCAGTGACATGTTCACCGGAGGCATTGGAATGGGTAAAGTGTAATCATGCAGAACAGGTAGAATAGCTGATGAAAGATAGGGGCAGTGAATTTTGTCCTTGTTTCGGGGTAGGAGATTCCAATAACATTGGTTAGGCAGAATTATCAGTCTGTCGTGTGATTCTTCGGTTCCCACCACACCATGGGGACGGCAATGGGAATGTTGCCTTTGCCCTTGAGCCACTGAGTTAGCTGAAGATTGCACGACACACAAACATTATGCGGCGGCCACGTCATTTTCTAATCTCCCAGTTTCATCCCGAAATATACGTCGCACGGAAAACTTCTGTAGTGAAGAAATGGGTCTGCACTGTGGTTATGTGGAAACCTGTTCACAAAAGTAACAAATATGATTTCGGGCATTGAGACAGCAGCGTCATTCAGCCATGATCAATTTATTAATTAAGGAAACATATCTCTCAATCGACTTGCAGTATTAGGTGGATACCATGACCAAGAGGACTGCTTTTCTACGATTACAGGGGGCCAATGAACCAATCACAGGCGAGCATTCGATGTATGAAACGTAATGCTTAGCTGAAATGAAAACTTGAAAGTAAACGAAAATCAAACGTGATGTAACATTTGGTTTGCATATTCGTACTCAGTTGACTTGGTACTACTAGAAACATCCCATCTCATTACTGTTAGAAAAATGGCGTTGCACAATGTAATCGACGCGGAGCCAGGCTCCAAGTAAAAGACAAAAATGAGCAGCAGGCAGAACATGCATCAAATCAATCCGATATGATCCAAATGCGGCTACAATGGGCATATCACACAAACCACATATCAGCTACAGCGTCGGCAGATAATGGGGACGCTTACCTCCTCTTTGTTCACGGGTTCGCGGAATGGCCAGGCATTCCTGTGTCGATAGACTGCATTCAAAAGGCGTGTTGCGTGAGTCTGGGCATTGTCAAGGCATTTGTCCGGTTCGCTCTGACGGTCGGAGGAAGACGAACTGCTCGAAGAAATGAGACGGCGTCGTTTCGCCGGAGGTGCAGAACGTGAGCACGTGGAGCTGATGGTGGAACGCCGTGGACGCATAACCCTGCGGTTCGCCGAACCAGAGTCATGGTCATCCGATCCGGACTCGTCTGCGTCAGAAGTCGTCGCACGGGCCATCTGAGGTAAGGACTGCTGTGTGGTTGAAGAGCGCGTTGAACGGGCAGCTGTAGGTTTTGGGTGTTCATCATGTGGTGTCTCATTTGACGGCCGGGTTTGTTTGCAACAACGCTGAAACCTGAAAACATCAACAGAATAATAGAAATAAACCGAGAATAAACATCAAAAAGTATTTAACATCAGACTTAATTAACACGCACAAATCCACCGAGAGTAGGTGATTAAGTTGGAAATTTCAGCATCACTAGGGTGAGTACTATCGGAGGTGACATGTGTGTAGAGGCGACATGCACACGACGCTGTTAGCTTTCTTTTTCCACAACCCAACAAACTGTCGTGTTAAGGCAGTGGTTCCCAACCTTTTAGACGCCGTTACCCACAAAGGGGGTTGCCCACCAGGCTTTTATCCCCAAACTTTCGAAAGACTACTACGTAATAACTATTGCACATTTCGCTCTAAAGTTCAAAAACAAATGTGATATGTAGTTTCACGTGCTCATGCAATTGAAGGAAACACCCCTTCTCACTACATAATTATCCGACTTAAGTACGAGAAGTGATCGGTATCCGGAATCTCCCTCGACAAATAAACGAAAGAAAATAGTACTTTTAATTCAAAATTCTATGCAAACAAGAGGCGATATACATCAATGAGACGGTTGGTATTGTTTGGTGGTAACAATTTCTGGTATATTTGGTGCAGTTTCGGCCAATGCACATCGCAAGTCGTGCTCCAAGTTCATTCGATTCCTTGCTCTTGTTTTCATTACCATCATTGTCGAAAATGCAATTTCACATTTATAAGTTGTTGCAAATGGGAGCAATATTCTCAATGCGCTTTCCGACAGTATTGGATACTCTTCACCTATCTTTGCCCAAAATGATACTAGTTGCGTGCTTTGGAAATCTACCTTCAATCCGCTGTCCTCGCGCATTCCTAGGAATTGTATCTTGATTTCGAATTCAGTATCTGGAAATATTCCTTCAGCTACTGTAAACGGTCTTAGCATCCAGGCACTTAATTGGCGAGTTTCCAAATCAGGAAAATATTTGCTGATGGAATTCATCAATGATGACAAGTGGCAAGATATTTCATTCGTGAATGCGCATTTTTCATTTCTTTCAACGAGCACCGTCGTTAGTTCTGGAAATATCGCCACGTCGTCAACATCAACCGAGCGCTGGTAAAGCTGCAGTTTGCGAAGGAAACCGGCTACTCTATACTGAGCGACTAAAATGTTCATCATATTCCCTTGCAGGCTGAGGTTAAGCGCATTGATTTCTCCAAAGAAATCAGCAAGATAAGCAAGTTTCGAAATAAACACGCTGTCCGTTATAATAACGTGTAACTCGTTTCCCTTAACCTTATGCATCTCTTTTCTTCGAAGAAAGATTGCAATTTCCTCTCGAAGCTGAAGCATTCGGTGCAACACCCTGCCTCGTGACAACCAACGCACTTCTGTGTGCAATAGTAGCACGTCGAATTTGCCTCCAAATTCATTGCACAACTCTTTGAAGATGCTTGTGTGGGTCGCACTACCGCGGATGACATTTACTATCTTTACTACTTTGGTTAACACGTCAAGTAAAGCAGGTGGAAGAGTGCTCACTGCTAAAGCATAACGATGTATGATGCAGTGACTAAAGGTAGCGTGCGGAGCAACATTTTTGACCAATGTTTGGGATCCGGAACGGACGCCCAACATGGCTGGTGCTCCGTCTGTACAGACACCCACTAACTTCGACCACAGTAGCATGTTTTCCTCGAGGAACTTCTTTACTATTCGGAAGACATCTTCGCCACGCGTAGTCGTGCTCAAGGATTCTGAGAACAAGTACTCTTCTTTGAAGCTGTCACTTTTTAGGTACCGAACATACACAAGTAGTTGGGAACAGGACGCTACGTCGGTCGACTCATCTAACTGGATTGCAAATAAGGGACTTGATCTTATTTCGTTGAGCACCGTGTTCAAAATTTGTTTGCTCATGTCCTCGATACGACTTTTGATGGTGTTGTTCGAAAGTGATATCATATTAATCTTCTCCGCATGATGTTCTCCAAGAACGAGCTTAACCGCATCCATTATGCAAGGTTTGATGAGGTCCTCTCCTATGGTATGCGGCTTCTTGTTTTTGGCGATTCGAAGCGTAATGCGATACGAAGCTTCAAGGCCAGCCTCATTTGCCTGAGAAAAGGAGCTCGATGTATCCAGGCGCAAACGTTTTAGCGCAGCTTCTTTCCTTCTAAAGAATGTAATATCTTTTCCTATCAAATGGGCATGGCTTCGTTCGAAGTGCTCTTTCAATTTACTAGGTTTCATACTCTCCGCCGTGAGCACTTTGCTGCACAAAACGCATTGCGGTTTCTCAACATTTTTATCAGCGAAGTTAGTGAAGCCCCACTGCAGAAATGCTTCTTTGTAGGACCGCTTTTTTCTGGAAGACGTATTCCCTGCAAACAATTAAGTAGGTAGATGTTATAGATATATATCATGTATAGAAATTAATCTCGTTATTCCATGCAGGTGACATTATCGCAAACGTTCGCTGACAAATATATTTTTGTCGGCATCAAAGCCACTGAATGAAAATGCTCACCTGCCATGACTTCTCGTCAAAAACAACTGCTCATGAAAGTGATCAACATAACACCTAATGGTCACTGGCGTCTAATCTGCTGATTCTATGTTGGTTGTGACCCCAATTGTATCGTTTCTCTGCCCTTTCAAACGCCTACCGTTATCCCGATTCAGGCCCTCACTTGACCCCATCGTGTCTGATTCCTAATCGAACATGAACATGTGTTTCATTCCTCCGTTCCACGTTATTCCTCGACATTTTCCCGACACCATTCTGTATCCATACCTTGTGAACACTAATCACCCTTTCTCGCCGTTTCTACTGCCAAACATTCACCTGTGAACATAACTGGTACTTTGACCAGTGCTGAAACGATAGTTTGCTATCCACCCCGTTATTCGACCCGGTGAACGACTGGCTTATTCGAAATCACGGCAGCAGTTGTGGCAGTCGACAAAGGCGCCATGCCGTAGTAGCTGCATTGACTGATGGCTAACTAAAAATGCTGAGCTAGTTGCGATGTGTGATTTCGTTATTAAGCTTATTTCGCGACTGATTTGTGACCAAATCCAATTATCGGTATTTACCCCTCGGAAAATGCCATTTTACCCCCTTGGGGGTAATTACCCCCAGGTTGGGAAACCATGTGTTAAGGGATAAGCTGGGCGAGGGGAGTTGCATGTCGGGTGCAGCTGGCGAAGAAACCCATAGCATGAAGGAGCAAACAATTGTGTAAGATGGTTGGATCATTGAGTCGATTTAAGTAAGTGTCGATGCGAAACATTCGACTGTAACGAACATCGAATAAAGCATTTTCCAACAGGGTGCGGTATCAGAAAATAAGGGCTGATGGGTCACGCAATTACGTGATACGTCTAAGGCAGATACTTGGGGAACGCGACGTGAGCAAACAAGAAAGCAGATGGCATGGCCTATGGAACATGAGACCGAACATGAGTTCACCAATCGAAGAAGCAATATACAAAAGAGGCCGGTGCCACATGATGATGATGATGATTGGGACCAAGTACTGCAGGATGAAGACTTTCTGTAAGGGGATTAAAAGCGAACACAGCTGAGAAGAAGACACACGGTAACAAACATGCCGGTAAATATCGATACGAGAGCACACCCGGGGTAGCACGTGAGTTATAAAAGGTGACCGCTGAGATTCCAGTGATGGAAACAACGAGGAGATCAGATCCTTGTGGTAACACAGCGCGAACTGTACTGGATGTGTGGTTTAGAGCAAATGTAGTCGATCCTATTGCTAACCGACACAAATCCATTCCGATCTGCTTCAGTCGAGAATAGACATGCATGTGATGAACGCAGCCACATACGAAAACGGTGGTGAACACACGTGACTGACAGGACGTGCGGAAAATACCAAAAGGGATGGAGCAGAAAAAGCGAAACGGTGTGTGAGATACGTGAGGGGGGAACACTCACTGTGCCTGTCGCTTTTCTTGACTCAGAAATTTGGAAATGCCAAACATTGACTTTTTACCGCTCACACGGCAGCTGGTGCACACCCATCCGTCACCCCGAGGAGGATGATGCAACGGTGGAGTGTGGCATGCGAGATGGAAAGCGTTTGGGCATCGCGAACAATGGACCAAATCGGATGAGCCGTCGTCGGTGGTGCACACAAGACACGTGGAGTCGTGCCTTAGGACTGTTGGTTTTTCACGGGCTACAAGATGGGGGGGGGGATTGAGTGGTCACATTTCGGAAGATCAACCGAGCAGAGGTTTCTGCGACGGTGCACATGAACCCAATGGTACAGTCCGGAAGCGTATTATGATATGTTAAAAACCAAATCTCCCACAAAAGGATGAAAAACCCGTACACTCATGTTGGAATGAGAGACGATGGAAAATAAGGGAAGGGGTATTCAAGTTGTCATCTCTAACGGCCATAATTAGCATAAATGAACGGCCAAGCAGATGAGCTCGTTGGGACCAGGGCACGAAGCGACAAATGACCTTTCGACAGGAAGCTCACAGAGAAAATCGGCCATAACGATCACACCGATGCGGTCTTTATCCACTATCACTCCGAGTGACAGCTGAAAAGTATCTTTCTTTTCGTCTTCCCGGTGTAAAAACTCGGATTCAGGACAACTAGACAAAGATTATTCCAGACATTGCAGACCTAATTTAGAATCAAATCAAACTCTCGCATCGAAAGTTTCAGTTCATCGTCTTGCCATGACAAAGCTTTTCATCAACAGGGTGGTGCCAACTGGATCTAAGCAGTTTAGCATTCAGACCCAGGTTCAATGGCTGCAGTGAGTTAAATGGTGTGGCTTATCAGGGACAGCGTGAAACAGTTTGCGTAGACTGAAGCTGCCGATGCTGGCTGGGGTACGGTGTGACTTCGTAACACACCAATGCGGGAGAATCCGTGCTCCTAGTAATAGCTTTGTGTTGGCTCTAACGGAACTGTACATTCATCCTAGAAGATACAAAAGTGCTAGAGGTCTATCGAATGAATTTGCGCATATTTCACAGGCTCACATGGCAACTGCTGGCCTCAGTCTCAACTAGTGCCGATACGACGTCGATCGCCCCCCAAAAGACTGTGCCGGACCGAGTTTTTACGGTTTACTTTGGATTAGTGTGCACAATCTAAACTGAAATCACTGTTATTAGATGCTTTGATGATCAATGCGAGGTGTTGGATTGCATGTTGAGATTGTTCGCCTAAACCGTGAGCACCACAAATAACTGTCGTTCGCGCCACGCAATTGTCCAACCATAGTCATCGTCGTGCCCTACCGATGCCGTGATGTTAGTCAATCCAGGGAACGGTTACAACTTTAGGTCAATAAGCACTCGTCCCGATACCACTGCGCCGTTTACTCAATTATCGGTAGCCGTAATCAGCGGTTGGATGTTGCTAAGTCAGGCTATTAGCGTGAGCAAGCCGCCTTGCTGAAAGGTCAGTTACGCTGCATAGTAACGGTGTCTAGCATGTTCGTACCAGCAGTTACCTGAGAACGGGCTGCTTTCGAGCGTGCTCCAACGGTTCATCCTACGCAGGTACACAATTGCGATGCCCAGTCAATCCGTACACCGTGCGAACAGAAAACATCATGGTAGCTCCCACAGACACCATTGATGGGAAAGCGTTTGAGCGCGCTAGGAACTCGTGTGGACTTGGCAAGATCGCTGACGTTATTACTGACTAGCCGGCCAGTTGCCGAGTGGTCTGCACGCCTGGCTTACAATCATAAGGGCACTGGTTCGAATCCACGTACGAGTGGGCGTCTTCGCGGCATACTCAGCCCATGCGCGACTGGTGGTGGTCATGCCATAGCGAAACGCCGTTACGGCGTACGATTTGTCGGTAAGCGGCTGAATGACAAGACACGAAATAACCTGAATTCAGGTTATCCCGTAAAAAGGTTATTCGTTCTTGCTCTCTTAAAACTTCTCAAGGGAAATGACTGCATGAAGATCTCTCACATTAACAAAAAAATGCTGTCTGCCACCAAGGAGCCTCAAATCAAGATTAATGCAAATGTGGACGAAGATAGTGCAAGGTACAGGTACAAATCCCCCTCCTTTTAAGACCGACAATCGCCGACAGGGCAAACACAACCATTTGATACATCTAGCGCAACGGGTATGTATTCGCCATTTTTGACATGCCAACTAAATTACTCCCTCTCCTTATCTGCCGGAACTTCCAGTGTGGATTTGATCCGCGACATTGTGCAGTGGCGGTAGTCGAGTTGGGATTGCAGGAAGGGCGAATGTAATTTTCAGTTAGGCAACCCAATGTGACTGAATGTTGAAATATGAGAAAGTTCGACAAGCCTTTCTTTGTCGAGGCATCTCATGTTTCATTGGCATACAGCAATGCGGAATTCGCGAGAGGTTACGAGGAAATAGGGTTTGATTGTGGTAGTTGGTTCATCGTCGCAAGCTCAATGAAGAGGGTAACACTTACTCAGGGGACGGACTGTGGGTGCGGGATGCTTTTGGGTCGAGGACGCTTTGGTCCGTCTGAGGTTTGACTGGCGCACAGCACGTTTGTCCTCGCGGTGGTCCTCATCGTTGCTGTCTTCGGACTCGGATTCAGAAGAGTTCTGCGGTTCATGTGCTTCATCCGAAGAGGATGAGTTGTTCCGCCGCCGACGGCGCTCGGAACGAGCAAGTCGAGCCTCTCGGCGGCGGCGCTCTAAATCTTTGGACACAGGACGGCATGAGACACAATACCAATCTCCATCGGGCACACGCCGGAGGGGTGGTCGTAGACAGTACAGGTGGAATGCACGGTTGCAGCCATCGCACAGCAACAGATGATCGTCATCAGTCTTGTGACGGCAAATGCGACAGCGCGCATCCTCCACGGATTTCTCCCATTGGATACAACGGTCCATACAGGCCTAAGGCAAGAGAAAAATTAAAAACCAACAGATGAGGCGCAACATCGTTTCAATAAAGGGGAAAGGTAGCTCCCGTCCTTACTCGGAGTGCGACGAGGCGGATGTTCATTCATTCAACAACCAGTCAGTCATTCAACAACCCATCGACAAAGGATTCGTTGAAAAACGGGTAAAAAACAATAATTAGTGTGGATAGTGATAAGATAGGATGGACTCACGTGTAAGAAATTGAGTCTGGCCAACGTGCGAGCGCTCTGTACCTCAGCGCGCCACAAGGAAAGCCAAGCACGCGTTCGGGAGAGGTGCTCATCGGGATTCTTTAGTATCTGGTCAGTGAACTCTGACGACGAATCAGAGGAATCGGAATCGTGTTCCGATGCATACGGAGTAGAGTGAGAGCCATCTTTTCCAGCTGTACAATGGTCTTCATCCTCGGGCTTGGCTCGCTGCTCATTGTTAGAAACAGGTTTCCTCGGTCTTCCACGAGACAGGTCCGGAACCCGGAGGAAACGAGGTATTATATTTTCCGCCACAGATAGCAAAGCATTAACAAGACCAAGTCGATTTGGTTTAGCAGGAGTGTGTTGTATCGTCCTGGAAGAGACTGAAGCCTTTTTCCGTTCTGGCGTATCCGGCGGTAGGCCGAAAGAGGTGTGCACTTCCGCCAACTTTTCTTGCCATTCCGCAAAATCAGGAACGCCGCCAAGACCACCTGATCGCAATCGAACTTCAGTGTCGAGGATGTTCTAGCAGAAAAAAGAAAGAGATATTAGGCGCAAGATGCACATAAGCAAAAACGGCACATAGAGATACCAGTTCCTTGGGGGCCAATAAGCACTGAGGAGCGCCAAGGTACGGCAGGTGCTACCGCAGTTTGGAGAGGGAGATAAAAAGCAGGTTAGGTGGAAAAAATGACAGAACTCAGCTGACCACTGAGGCTCGCAAATTAAGGTTTGGCTGATAAGCAATGTAAGTATTCACTAGCTGGTGTTTGGAAAAGTACCCGCTATACTATCCGGATGTATTAGTGTGGAGGTAGCCGAGTCATAAATTCATTAGACAATGAAGCTGTATAGAGGAAATCCACAGAACTGACGAAGTGGATTCTCACGAACTGCAATTTGTAAAGTAACAGCAATCGGCCGGTACGCAGTACTGACACTACGCTGCCGTGCAACCACCACAAGTCGCACGTGGGCTAAAGATACTACTAGGATCGCCCGGTCTACTACGCAGGTCCGAACCCGCGCCACCGGATTACAAGGCAGGTTTGTGATCCTTAAGGCCACAGACAGTGATGTAATTGCCCGAAAATTTCTATTTCCATTATTTAGATATTCCCTACAGCATCCGAAGTGTCAGTTGCAATGTTATTCTTCACGATAGCTTCCGATTTCATTTCAACTCAGTAAATTGTCACGATTGCATGGTGAAACACTTAGAACATCCGATCACAGAGGGTTCTGTACTGACGTCCGGCATTTTGGTCAATACCGCACAATCCACTTCCTGCCAATGCAGTTGGCCGAGAGAGACAAAAATACCGTCAGATAATAACATGGATGAGAAAAGAGAAATTGGTTGCTTTTGAGGAAAAGCGTCTCTGGAAGGGCGCAGATAAGGTGGTACATCAGGTGAGAAAAACGCAATCTAGTATGGCGTGTGAACAGAGTTTGCGGGATTTTCACAATCACTTGTTTAGAGCGCAAGGACCATATTCTAAGTAAGTGTAGTGACTCAGGAGCAATTACTACTGTAATGTAATAAGTAGCATGGTACGAATGGATAAACCTAATGGGATATCCATGGTCTATTTTAACGGTCTACTACAGGGTGAATAGACAACAACCAACGACCACAGATAGAGGTGGAAGAAAAGAAAAAGCGCGGAAGCATCTTGTAACAGAGAGAGTACCACACGGCATATGGAAAGACACTTGCGGCGAGAGTCAGCAACCCGCAAACGAACGGCGAGGTCTAATGTACATGGTGATAGTCGTGTCTATAAACAGCTTTCCGCATCAGTAGTAAGTTATAGAGGGACTTATCGGGTTTTGGAGTCACCCATGGCTCCAATGGTATAAACCATCGAAAATAATAGTAACGTCATGGGTTTGAATCCGATAGGATACGGCGGGCGCATGCTACTGGCAAGTCCCGAAAGGATGAAACGAGCGTCTATCACTTTTATAGATGTGGTGGCCGTCTGACTAAGTCTAACTGAGACAAGCCTTCTCAAAAGCTTTTAGCATCTCTTGGGCTTATGCATAAGGATGTTTGACACAGCGATCAGGGAAGCATTTCGTCATCATTTAGACTCTGTAGGTGTACACACACAGGAGTGTGAAAGCAGAGTGGAGATGAATGAGAGGCTCTCAAGATGTTGCGCAACAGAGAGTAAAGCGAGAATACGAACCTTCAGTAGAGCATTGGCCAAAGCAGCTTCGGCATCCAACGCATGTTTGTCGGAAACTTGTTCACTGATTTCAGTTGCTCTGAGAACGAAAACAACAAAGGATGAATAAGCGGAGCGAACCGATGGGGTACAATGATTTCGGTAGGAAATGTTTCACCAGATGACACCAGATGATAATGATGAATAACATAATCGGAGGGTGTCCAAGAATTAATGCACTGACAGCTTGAAATATGCTAATCATCTAGATGTTGCAGAGCGGAGAGCCCGTTTCAGCGGCAAAGTCGAACACTATGAGAGTGCGTTCGCAAACACACACACACAATGAAGCGGAGCAAGTAAATGATACACTAGAGATGTCGCATATGAGACTAGTCACCAAAATCAGACTAACCTGTAGCATGTAAGTTGAGATGCAATAACGTGGGTGAATTCGAGAGAGTGACGAATTGGTACAGACCAGTTTGGTGGTAAGCGGACGGTGGTTAGGCATGCAGTCGAATGTATGTAGTCACTGCGTGTAAACCAATTAGAGGAGTTATGTGTTGCTGTCCAAACAAGCTGAGTACACCGAAATCCGACATTTAATGCTTTGAGTACCGCTGTGGAGATTTGATCACGAGATGGCATGTCAGGGATCAAAGGACCTGATCGACACGAGGCTATCGAATAAAACTCCCGACTGGCTCTGAGCACAAGATGACGAGACGGACTATTAGGCGCGAACTAAAGCGGAGCCTGTGTGCTGAGAAGGAAACTTGGTGGACTAGTCTGGCTCAAGAAATGGAGCAGGCAGGAGCAGTAGACAATTATCGTAAGCTCTTTCAAATGATCCGTACCACTGGCCCAGGAAACCGGTCGGCGGTGAAAAAATCAGCGACAGCTCGAGTGCGATAATTCCTAATAAAAAGCGCCGCATGGCTCGTTGGGCTGAGCACTTTCAAGATAAGTTCAGTTGGCCCCCTGCTTCCGGGTCTCTTCCTAATCAGATGATTGGGGATGAGCCATGGACGGTTAGCTTAGAGGCTCCATCGGAGGCTGAGATCCGAAACGCGGTCGCAGCTATTGATCGATTTCGAGCTGCTGGCTAGGCATCTCTCCCACCTGAACTAGTTAACGATGGTGGTGAGGTACACGGCAAAGCACTTAGTGTTCGAACAGGATTGGAAGGAAGAGACAATCCAAGGTAACTGGAATGATTCGATTGTAGGGACGATATACTAGAAAGGCCGAAGCACTGACTGTGACAACCACAGGGGCATTAGCTTAACGCCTGTGGTGACAAAATAACAAGCTTTCAGTTTCGTTTGTCGCTTCACTGCGGAACAAGAATATGGAATAAGGGAAGAGCAAGCACTTTTCTACCCAGGAAGGGGCTGTAAAGACACATATTTAATCTGAGACAGCTTCTAACGCAGCGCCACAAGTACTGCAGACTGACAATAGCTGTGTTCCTGGACTTCAGTAGTGCGTACAGCTCAGCCGATAGATCCATACTGTACCAAACGCTTATGCAGGAAGGTGTTCCCACGAAAGATGTAAGGATTTTATGCGCCCTGTACTCAAACATCACAAAGTGCGTCAGGGTATACGGTGGCTAATCAGATATCTTTCCGACAACAAGGAACGTTCATCAGGGTTGCAAAGTTCCCCATTTTTCACCTGCTGATCGTATGTCCGAGCTTGATAAAGGGATTGCATACGTTTCACCACCATGCGAGGTGGCATCTTCAGTGCGGTGATATGCAGTGTATAATCCTGCTTATTGAATCGTCAGTCCGCCGTCCACGGGCAGGTGACTTTTGAAGGTGGCAATTTCGATTTGCGCCACCTGATCTCTGCCCATTTGCTTCCGCACTGAAGATGCCACCTCGCATAGTGGTGAAACGCACCTAATCCCTTTATCAAGCTCAGAGAAAGGATCAACAGGTGAGCAACCAACTCGGGCTACCAGCGTTCCAAATCATTCCCCACTTTTGTGCAACTTCGTGATGGACTCCAGCATGGAGTGTTCTCTTGCGGAACTTCACAATTACGCGGATGACACTGTTCTACTTGTTAGCGATGTTGCGGCGGCTCAATCAATCCTGAGTGGTCCCATCATTGGACATGCGCATCACGCCTTTAAAGTTGTTGTAAGACCCCCAGCCACTTGATTATCCATTGACCCTTGATAGCGAAGAACTCGACGTAGTTGAGAAATCCACTTAGCAGTTGTATCAGCCACGATGGGCGCAAAACCACTGGAGTCAGTCCATGTATTGCAGAAGCTAGAACAGTCTTTTTGAATCTACGACACCTGTGCCGTCAGAAAGGGGTTTCCCTTGTTTTGAAAACCATTTTTACAACACCACAGTGAGGGCTGTCCTACTCTAGGGGAATGAGAATTGGCCCCTTCGGTCTGAGGATCTGATGGGCCGCGAAGTCCTTGATCATCGATGTCTGTGAAGCATTGCTGGTGTCGGATGGCACCAGCGTGTCCGCAACGATGATGTCCGCAGGCGAGTGCAACACAATGATAATCAGGATAGTTCCTTGGAACAACGGATAACACTGAATAAGTTGCGTTGGCTTGGGCCCGTAGTATGTATGCCTGGTAACCGCTTACCTTGGAGAGCTTGGTTTAGTCAGTCAGATGGAAGGTGGCGCAAGACTGGAGGTGGACAAATGTTGAGTTGGCAGCGGGAAATGAAGTCATTGAGGACCAAACTTGGAACCGTCGATCCATCTCGCCTTCCAGGTTGGAGTCCACATGACCCGCCTTGTGCTTGTCTTGAGATGTTACATGACATGGCTCGCAGTCGACACCAGTGGCGTGTCTGCTGTCTTCTCCTAGTCGGATTTCCTGTTTAAAGTGTGTTTGGTGCTATGTTATCTGCGGGATAATGGTTGCTTATGACGCGGGGCAGTGAAAGCCGCAAGGAAGCCGTCTCGCCGATGCTGCCTTAGCTTTGCACGATGGCCAGCTCTTCGCTAATGTTTGTCGCTGAAAAGGTGTAGGTGTTTTAACCGTGACTGTTTGCATAGGGATTTAAGGTCATTCTACACTCCTTAGGTCACTGCAGCAAAGCAACAGTCCGATTGGCTGATGTAATGCAACTGATGATGAGGACTTGCTTACGTAACTAAATGGTGATATCGGAATATTTGGCAAAAGTGATGCGAATGGTTCAGTAGTTCCGGAGTGATTCGGGATTTTCCCATGAACTGGATTCCGAATCATGCAGGTAGGGAAACAGGATGGCCGAGCAGGTTGTGCTACTCTACCTACACATGACATGAATTACTGCATCGAGATTCAAGGAACCTGTGGTGCCCTTCATCACGAGCGAGATTAGCTTCAGCTGTAGGACTGAAGTGAGATAGGCGACTTACGTCGCACACTTATGCCTACGTCGCGCAGAGGGCGGTCTAACAAGGTCATCGCTAAAGATAACAGATGATACTTGTCGTATTTGTGCTCGAAACAACATTAGTTACGTGCACCGGATGCATAATCTGTTCTGTAGAGCGTCCGCGCTTTCAGATAACATGTCAGTGAAGTCCTGATTTCTTGAGCAGATACAAACCCAAAGATTACAGTGTAAATCGGTCTGAGCAAGCTGAAACTACGCCACCTACTGAAGTGAAGCAGAGGTGCAAAAGCCAGTGTCACATGCGGCGCGAGAAGACGCAAACCAATACGTTGCGTTTAAAGAGGGGCCTGACATTTGAAACAGGTAAAGTGGAACCCGTATTTTGCTCCCATGACAACCAGACTAGTACTAGTCTCAGAGTAGACAGGGATTTGAGACGAGTAGAATAATACAGTTGGTTTGTTCCAAGTCGGAGGCCCAGTAAAGCAGAGCAAATAAGCGAAAACAAGCTGTGGAGAATGTTCCACACCTTTTCACCTCATATTCCCCAAGTGTAGATACATCGCAGCTGCACGGATAAGTGGTGTACTGCTGCTGAACACGAAGATAGCATTTCTTATGACCCGACACAATTCCGATTATTAGCGTTTCTTCCGTAATAAATAAATAAATTGCCAGCTGTACGCCGTAACGGCGCTTCACTGCCACCCGACCACCACCAGTAGCGCGTGGGCTGAGTATACCGCGAGGACGCCCACCCCTACGCGGATTCGAACCGGTGGCCTTATGGTTGCAAACCTGGCTCGCAGACCACTCGGACCCTGGCCGTAGTCTACAACCTAAGTGATGGTAGTTGTAGTGTCACCGAATTTATACAGAAACAAGGCTCAACCGTCGCCAGTTGTCCATAGCCCGTTTTCAGAACAAGCCGTCCGGTGTCCGTGGGCGCGTTCAAAGCTAGTGCCTTAGGGCATGTACACTGCAATTGTACGTAGATTGGGTGCCTTAGACGGTGGTGTAAGCTGGATCCAAAAACCAGAACTTGCGACTTTCAAACAGCTATCGGACACCAATCACACATATACTCTGTCCCCCCCCCTGCTGTTGGTTGTACGTGCACGGAAGGCAGGTGGTAGTAGGTATGAGTTGGACTGGAGCAGATACTGTTCTCGACTGCAGAGCAGAATCCGCGCGCCGACTGATCGGATTCTTGTAAACCCATCTGGCAACATCAAGTAAGGGTGGTGGGCGGAGTAGAGCGCTGTTTCGTTGCAGCAATCGCATATAATTCAGAGACGCCTCCTAGGATGCCTCTCTAGGATGCACTGACACGATACTAGATGTGCTTCCAGTCACAGAGAATGTGATCGCGTAACTAGGTCATCAAAGCTCCTCGGAAGATCAGTTAGGTGAGAAGTTTGGGCGCACCAACAATGGAATGTGCTTAAGGCAACTGTGCATCGAGCACCGATTTTGTTTTCATGCGACGCTACCTTTAAGTGCGAGGGATGTCGAGGTGCCACCCAGTGTCCTCCACCAAGTGACCAAAGATGGACCCCAATTATAAACAAGGTCAATATGAGCTTAGATGGCGTGGTTCCACGGAAGGATAATACTAAAGTACTCTACCAAGAACTGATATTTGATATAGAGAGAAGTGCACAAGCCGGTCGTGGTGACTCGGGCACAGTGGTGGAGGGATAGTGGCAAATTGATGTTGACTACAAGGGCTTAAGATTGACGCTAGTGTTGGCAATTAATGATCTGTATAGACCCTTTTTGTACTTCCCACCGGCACCATACGCACCGCAGACCGATCATAACTGTCCGCCTCAAGGGTAATAGGTGCACATTCGACGGACTTGCCTAGAAACGCGTACCGTGATCGAATATCACCGATTGCAACAGGATCTAGAGCGAAGTAGAGAATACCTATGTAGTAACAAATAACGCTTACCGGGATTTATCATTTGCCCAAAACTGACCAATTTAATTGTAGATTCCAACATGACAAGTAGAACTTCACGATGCAGCAATGAGGTGTTATACTCGGTCTTTGATGATTGCGGAGCTGTACATTCAACTCTGGACACCTATTTCAGATTGTAGAAAGTAGAAGTCACGATTAAAATTCACGCACAATAATATGCCTCGACGGGGAGTCGAACCCCGGTCGCACGAATTTCCGGTCCGCTGCTCTACCATCTGAGCTACCGAGGGCTGACGATTAGGTGCGCAAATTTTAACACATGACTTCTGCTTGGTGCGCGACGTATTGCCAATGGGCTCACAGTACCTGTCCTGATGTTGCAGATTGGCAGAAGTCATGTGTTAAAATTTGCGCACCTAATCGTCAGCCCTCGGTAGCTCAGGTGGTAGAGCAGCGGACCGGAAATTCGTGGACCGGGGTTCGACTCCCCGTCGAGGCATATTATTGTGCGTGAATTTTAATCGTGACTTCTACTTTCTACAAACTTTACCCTACTCACAAACTTCCAACATATTTCAGAGTCAATTCATTTACTAGCATGCATGTTGAAAGTACAGTGTCGTTCTAGAGCACGTAACTACTTGCATGGGCCATGACTGATAGGCACACACCTATCTTGGTGGGTGTGCGCGATTGCAGAAAGTATGTATCGCCTTGCAAAGGCGAAGACAGATGTCACGAAACAGCAACATATTTGGTGCCGGAAGGAAGTTCTCCTTGGACTCAAATGCAGTGCTATAACAGCACCACAACGAAAGAGGTTACGGGGTTACGGTAGTCAGACTAGCTACACTCAGCAGGAAAACCTGAGGCGTATTGTGACCTTAGACCATCATTGCCTTCGGAATACCGCAGGTATCGGGAGGCATCAATGCGTCCTCGACGCTGGAGTGCGCAGGTAACGAAGAAGGGGATGTAGTCAAATCAGCTCATCATTATCATCATCAACAGCAGTACATCAGCCATTTGAACTGATGCTTCGCTGCCATACAACCATGAGGACCTATGAAATAAAGAATAAGAAGAGGGAGAGAAATGGGGACTTACCTGAAAACCTTAATGCCCTAAGCAAACATACAGTGTCAAGGCGCCTACACCTTGTGTTGGCAACATACCGTCACAAACAGCTGGCTATCGTGCAAAGATAAGGCGGCATCGGCGAGACAGCTTCCTTGCGGCTTTCACTGCCCCGCGTCATAATCAGCCATTACCCAGCAGATAACTCAGCACCAAACATACTTTAAACAGGCAATCCGATTAGAAGATGGCAGCAGACGCGCCACTGCTGTCGCTTGCGAGCCATGTCCTGCAAGGTCTCGAGCCAAGCACAAGGTGAGTCACGTGGACTCCAACCGGAAGGCGAGACGGACCAACGGCACCCAGTTTGGTCAGTCAAATCAGCTAGTAGTTAGGACAAGAGCTAAGACCTGATAAACTGCGTTGGCATCGGCACCGGATACGTAAGACCGTTCATTTTGCGCAAAGGAGCAGTTTGTTTTGTTTGCCATGTGTAAGCGGGTGCAAGGCTGGACTGGGGTAAACGTTTATGTGGCAGAGGTTGAATGTGAACTATGGTTGATAGTGATGAAGGTTAGTGAGGGCCGCAACAGAAATGTTTCCTCAATGCCGTCTCGTTTCCTTACGTTGACTAGATGGATGTGACTGTGATTGAGAAACTATTAAGCCTGAATGTTTATTTACAGTATTTAGGATTAATAAGGGGTCCCGCTTCTAACCGTAAAAGTGTGAACATAAATCGGGTTGGGGCAGTGGGGAATTGAAACGTCGGAACAAATTACTAGTGCAAGGAAGTTAATGGGAAAGATGACGAGGACACAGGATAACAGCCAGAGTTACCGTGTAGACCAGAACAGTAACACGATGTACCCTGATTAGCTTCATATTCCGAAATCGCATGAGTCGAAGTGTGTGTTGCTTGACGCAAAGCGCAGATTAGTTTTCATGTGCAAAAATATGAAGTACGATGAAACACCGAAGTGTTGAACCAGCCAAACATGATTGACTCGTGAAGTGTCGGAAAATATCATTCAAGCAACTTATGGCGTTCAAACGATGAAGGAAGTGCAAACTAAGCCATGCGGGATCCGTCAGTTTGGTAGTCAAATATACGCAAGTAGCACTGGTGGAATCCAGTGCACTAATATGTACGAGTGCTGGTAACAGCAAATTAGAACTCACCGCTCATCGGACGGGTTGGAGAGCACTGTCCCGCTAGACTCCGTGACATGATTGACAGGTGGGGAGAGTTGTGCGCCGTCTGAGGGAAACTTGCTCCAGCGAGATTTGATTGCTTGGATCAAACCATCCGTGAGTAACTGCCGCTTTAAACGACTTTCACGGATGCCTCTGTCCAGTAGGGCTTTGAGTAGAGCATCCAACTGCTCGGGTCGATCGTATACAGCCCATGAACTCCAGCAAGCTGCAGACCAACGATCTGTCTCTGCGCAAGACGCATTTGTGTGCGCCACAGGGGGAATCGTGGTCTCTTCGTCCGCCATTACCATTGTCCCACGTGAGGGCACGCGTTCATCTTTGGTTAAATCAATACAAATCTCTGAAAACAACACAGGAAAGCAATGCCAAACAAAAAGCGGTTCGGTTGAGAGGGTTGACTCGAAGGGTGTGAGTGTTAGTATCAGAAATATGCACCTTGCAAGGCCAAAACAGTGATGATGAAGATAGCACAATTGATGTGAACTGGTGATGAGCGGATGATCAAAGGAAATCAGACCAACGAATGATGGCTGTGTGTTAGAGAAGTGTGCGGAAAAAGTCAAGGAATATCGTTAGTGATCAGGTTGAGTAAAAGGAAACCACTTGAGCTACTAACTGGGTGGTTGTGTAGTAGATGGATTAGGCAAAATTAAACTGAGTAAATCGATAAATAAGTAAAAAGTATGGCTATCGGTTCAACATGACGCTGCTTCCAAGGACGAGAAGGCTAGTTTGAATCCAATGCACCGCCAGAAAGTTCGGGTATCGCCAACTGTAGCGCGAGACTTCCAGTTCGCTCGGAGGAACACGCAACATTATTGATGGTTTGAAAAAAACGTATCATTAATATTCAGTGACTGATCGCAGAGAACCGGAGGGGGCTAGTGGGCATTTCACACTCAAGACAGTGCACATTTCATTCAGACTGTATTGATAGACCAGAGTATGAAAAATGTTTCCAGCACCACGTTCGTTGTTTTCTAACGTCACAAAAAGGTGTTATCGACTAGATCAATCAAAGATCAAAGTTCAAGTCACTCGACGCCCTGCTTGAAGGGCTTGGGCAAACTCTCACGCTGCGATCTGCAATCCGTGGACAAAAGGAATGGGCTGTATCGTAACGGAACAAGTATGCTTTGAGCAGTCAAACGCAGTTTCTGCACACGATCTGAGGAGATTGCCACTAGACTCTTCGCTTGTAATGCTAGAGCACGGCTCTCCGGCTTCAGTCCAATCACTCGAGGAAAGGCAGAGATCAAAAGGGGTCCGACACGTTGGCATGGGTTTAGGATGCGAGAAAGACCAGGAGCGTACACTCTGTCTCATATCGTCCGATACGAGTCCACCGTATCACGGAGATACGGTGTTTTATATCTCGGTCACTCGCTGTGCTGAGGCCGCTGCTTCAGCAGCTACGTGGAAACCGGTGCACATTTGGGAGGCCGGATCCAAAACAAAGCGCTCATCCACTGCGCATCGAACAGCGAGTGGCGAATGTATGGAATTGTTTACCGAGAAGCATACTCGAGGCGAATCCGATGCCGCAGCCAAAATAGTCTTAGATCGACATTTACTCATTGGTACATTCATAGAAGGATTATGAGTTGATAACGACATCTCAAATTTAAGAGTCCCATGTTACTGCGAGCCATAGATTTTACAATATCACATGAGAATATGAAGAACAAGCAAGGAAATGACAGAGGACAGATTTACTTAACATTACACGAATTTAATTTCCAATTGTTGAAACAACACAGTTCGGATCACAGTTGAACAAGCGAAGTGAGTTTAGGTCCGGAGACAAGCGAACAACTTGAGGATGGAGTTTGTGAGCGACTTGGCTACCTACGAGTAGGTAAACATCTATAACAGCGATTGCTTATACAATAGACATTGTGTTATCGAAAACCATGCTACGAATGTGCAGAATGAGCACAAAGATCGCAAAGAGGAAAACATGCAAAGAAAGTTTTTTCTATTGTTTTACACGCCGTTTTGTCTTTTTTGTCAGTTTAGTGATTACGATCTTCATCAGTAGAATCAAGGCACAAACTCATGCAAATCTTCCACTGTCCTCGATTACGCGCCATGTCTTCTAGAGTCTCCAAGCAGCGATGTTCATCACCTTTGACTCTCCAGCCCGGAAAACGTACGCAGCCAACGACAGCTAGACTAGAAGTCAGCGCATCGACTTTGGTTGCCCTGTGGTAGGTTGAGCACCGCGTGATCTGTTCCAGTGCGGCCCTTCACGAGCCAATAGACTGCGCCGTGGTAAACGCTCCATGGCATGCGTTGGACGTGACCTAGCCAACTCAGTTGGCGCGACGATAATAGCTTATCGAGAAGGCCTGGGTTACCAACAGGCACTGTCTAACACTGTCGTCGCAAAACTGATGTTCCAACCAGACAGGAGCTATCCTCCGTAGATAAACATTGTCAGATGCAGAAATCCGACGCAAATCATTTGCACGGATCGGTCAGGACTCGCTTCTATACAAGAGGACCACGCGAACACAGGCATTGTAGACTCCGCTCTTCACCTAGATTGAAACGTCCGAACGACGTCAAAGATGCCACAAATCAGTGAAAGCTGATCGGGCTATGGCAATACGGAGATGAACCTCTCTTCCAATGGTGCCATCAGAAGTGACGCAGTTAATAAGGCAGATGAAACTATCTACTCGTTCAAGCTGCGCGTCTTCGAGAATCAGCACGGGAGCATGTGGAGTCCAATGCTGGAGTAGGACTTTACATTTCAATGGGGAGGTCTTATCATAATTGGCAGCTAAAATCACCAAGCGGTTTGGAATGACCTGTATGATCTGTGGGTCGTCACCGAGCATCAGCATAGTCCAAGTCAGTCGCGCGGTTACCTGGAAGAAGCTCTACGCCAAAACCATGGAGATCTACCAAAGCGTTTAAATAAGACATCCTCAATCGCAAAGCGGAAG